AGTGCTGGGACCCAGAGCACCACTGCTCCAAAGCTGTCATTAGAATTGTCCCTGTTTTTCCAAGCTAACTGGTTGTATGGGTCTGGTCGTGCTGATGAAATCCCTGCCAGCCCGTGTGTGAGTTATCCCTATGGCTGGCAAAGTGCATCTGAGCACCCACATTAAACACAGCCAGCTCTGGTGGGCTGTCCCTGCCCCAAAATCTGGGCTGCTCCATGAAAAAGTGGGCTGGGAGCAGCTCAGCCCAATTCTCCCTTTTGCTGAGATGGACAAGTCTTGTAGGCTGTTGGCTGCATGCATCCCTGGGGCTGCCAGCAGGCAGAGCAGGGAGTTGACAGCAGCCCTCTCCCCCGCCCTGTTACCTCTACCGTTGCCTTTCTTTGGTGGCCGAAAGATGGAATTAAGGTACTGGCATGCGAGACCTGCCGAGACTGGGACACATTCTTGGAGCCTGGTGTGATCTGGGCAGCCCTTTGGCTCCCACCCAAATTTCCAGCCTGAAGGAATGACACAACGCCTTGGCTTTCCACCCCGGCCGGGCAGCTCGCTCCCTTCCAGGGACGGCCTCCGGGGCAAGATTACATCATGGCTGTGCATGCCCTTGCTTCCCCTCTGCCGGGTGGCACCTGGCTATGGCACCGGGCACTGCGTGCAGCTGAGGGTGGCACCAATCTGTGGCCGAGCACCGGTGCCCATCCCAGGTACAGAGACAACACCAAGCGGCTTCTTGTCCGACTGATAGCTGCACGTGTGGGCTGCTCCAGGAGAGCTGGGGGTGTCCCTGTAATGGGTGGGGAGATGTTCATGTTGCAGTTATTTCTGGTTTCGGTGAGAGTTCTGTGTGGCGTCTCATGATCCCATCCAGAGCAGAGATGGAGTCAAAGCAGAGATTCCGGTCAGGCCTTGGCTTATCTCTGTGTTATTGAGACTCAGCAAACACAGCGGTGCGGCCAGGAACTGCTGGGGACAAAGGCAGTGGGTGCCAGGCAGGACGCTGTTCTACGCCGTGTCCCTTCTGGTCTGTTGTGGCCTTGAGAAATAGCCTTGTAGGGTGGCACCAGGCTGTCCACAATGGCGGTGCTGGCTGTGCCATCCCAGACTCAAGAGTGCATCATATTTGGGTGCGTCCATCTGACACTTGGAGCTCTGTCCTGCAGGGTCTGCCTTGCCCGTGTCCCTCTGTTCCAGCAGGCTGGACATGCCCCTTGTTCCTAGACACAGCTGGCAGCCTCTGCAGTATGGAGTGGGAAAAGTGTCGTGTGGGCGGCTGTGTGCCATGCAGTGCCCGTGGGGAGATGTGTGTGGCATCCCATTAGCCTGGGGACTGGGAGAGTCAGGGCCGGGTAGTGCTGTGTTTGCATGAAAACTAGGCTTAGATTTGGGGATCTGCAGCACAGATGTCTCTCTGGTGTTGCCAAATGAGTGGTCGCCTCCCCATGATTCGCCCCAAATCTCTGCAACCAAATGGAGCTGGGGGGGCGGACCCAGGTTTCCCCCTTTTTATGGACGCAGCCGTGAGCTGGGCAGCACGGCTTCGTGGAGCGGGACGGATCCTGCCCTGAGCCCTGTGTTGGGTAACACCTTGCCATGCGATGACACCGGGGACCGAGGGGTGGGGGCAAGCAGTTTCGGTCGGGGCAACAGCAGAGGCACCCAAACTAATGATCACCTGCACCCTGAGCTGCTAAGTGGAGGAAGTCTGTGATTAGTTGACACCTCCAGCCAGGCTTTTGAAATTAAGCCGGCATGGAGCAGGGGGTGGATGACAGCTGCTTTATTCACAGCTGATATATAAAACGGAAAACACGGTCTGGGAATGGCATCAGGATGGTCTGGGAATGGCATCAGGATGGCCCAGGTAAGGCACCACGGCGTTTTGGTAACGGTGGCCGCAGGGGCAGGTGGTGAATGCACATCGAGTCCCTGGGAGCCATCTGGGCTGGGAAGGGACGAAGGGTTTGGGCGATTTCCACCAAACTGGTCCAATAACCGATTGTTTCACACCCAGCTCACGATTCCACTCCGCTTTGTCCCCGCTGTGTTGGGTTTTGTTCTCGCCACTGTCCCCACGCTGGATCTGAGGGACACGGGGACCACGACGGTGACAGCACGCGGCCACTTCCAGACGGCAGAGCGCCGACAGGAATCCTCCCACCGCTGCAGCGCCCGCGAGCGCCTCGTGTCGGCAGGCAGCTCGGCTGCCCGGGGTGGCGGCGGTTTGTTGGAGCGGAGCGCGCTGCCTCGGCGCGTCCTGGCGGCGCTGGGAGCACGAGGGCGAGTGAGCGACCCGGGCCAACCCTTCCCAGTGCTTTCCACCAAAGGAACACGGGTGTCCTCTGGGACAAGGGCGGCTGTGGAGCAGCCACAGATGCTCTCGCGGTACGGGGTGGCAGCCTCGCTCTCCTTTCTGGGGCCGCCTGCAGCCGAGTTTTGGCAAAATGACCGGCTGTGCAGACGTACAGTGGAGCTGTGACTCCCTCTGGTGCCTGCGCAGACACTTCTCAAGCAGCTTCAAGGATGTTTCTTCACACCGAGGGTGGAAGATTCGGGGTGCCCAGAGGGTGTTCGCAGCTCTGCTCCCCCAGCAGCCCTGTACAGAGCTGGGGGGGCACGGAGTGGGTCTGGGGGGGCCTGAGGTGAAGCTGAGCGCTGCCTGCAGGTGGAGCTCCGTGCCCCAGGCCGGGTCTCGGGGGGAGGTTTGGAAGTGAGATGGTGAACCCCGGAGTGGCTGCTCCTTGAGGACCAGGAGCAGCTCCCAGACAAATGATGGTGCATAGTCTCTGCCTGTTGGGAAGGGGATAATGGCAATTGACCCCTCGTTAAGCTGATTGCCCACATGTATTCAGCTTCGAAGCAGGGAGGAAACCCCATCCAAAGCCAGGTGTTAAATAAGGGAAGGACTGCAGGGAAAGCTGAGCTGTACTAATGGGGTAAGTGGAATAGAGATGAAGAATTTTGTCCCTCGGCGCAGCAATTGCTGCAGTTTTTGCTACAAACTCACTGCTCAGGCTGTGAAAGCCCCGTTTGGCTGAAGAAGGCTCTGCCCTGTGTGCTCGAGGGACCCTGTGCTGGTGATGTGCTGTCTGAGGTCAGTGGCAGCTTGCAGCTCGTTACTTCACAGCCGGGGATTACGCTGATCTCTGCTGTCCTGCTGTGTGCTGGAGGATTTGTGACTCTTTGCTGTGTTGTTTTATGGTTTGTTTGTTTTATTTTTTTCCTGCAAAATTGGAGGTGTTTGTTTCTGTGGTGGGAATGGGGGCATGTTATCCTTTGCTTTCATCCCTAAAATCTTGTTGGGGTCAGTGAGGCTGTGTGGCTTGGACGTACGTAGTGAAAGCAAGATGTAAACCAGGGTTCAGAAGTTCATTTTGAACATAAATCTTTACAGGGCAGTGAGGAAGCAGATATAGGCCTGCAAACTCCAAGTCCTGAACTGGAAATCCCCCTTTGTTGAGGTCAGACGCTGTCCTGGCTCCTGGGAAGGGGGGGAGGGAGAGCAGCTAAAGGAGCTGTGCCATTCAGGTGAGCTGCTCATCTCCCTCCTGAGCTGGGGAGCCCCATGCATACCTGGGGTCATTCATTAACTTGTTGGTGCCAATCAGTGCTGGTGCCCAGCAAATCCTTGCCGCAAACAGTCCGACCTCACCTGCCACCTCTCATTGCTCCTGGACCTGATGGTGATCCCCACCTCCAACATTGCCACAGGATCCGTGCTGCCCCATCCTGCAACTATGCGATGGTTCGCTGTGCTGCAGCTCACCTCTCGCCCTCTGGCATTGAGAGCAGCTTCTCACTGTGCTGCCACCGTCCTCTGGCGGTGACACCACGAGTGGGATGAACTCCTGTTCTGTTCCTCCGGTGATGAAGGCGTTGCTCAGTTGCCCACGGAGGCTTGCTGGGTCTCCGGATGCTGAGTTTCATTTAGTGACTCTGGAAACTCCTTCACAAAGTGAGCAGAGAGCACACTGCAGAGCTGCTAGATCTTCTCTCTCAGATTTTCCCTTTTGCAGCATGTGATTCTATTTTATTTATTTTTAATTATTCCATGTGTGACACGAATCCCCTGGAGCTCAGAACGTGGTGCAGTGCTGGGTGAGGCTCACCTCCCTGTGGGTCACTGCAGGGGTCGGCTGAGCCCAGAGCCCATCCCAGTTTGGGGCCATGGCAGCACAGCATCGGGTGCAGCAAAGCAGGTGTCGGTGCTGTGGGGTCTGGGGGGAGCAACGCCTTCTTGTTGAGACGGTGCAGCTTTTGGTGAGGAGAAATAAAGAATAAATTCCAGTGCTCCGAAGACGAAGTGATGGTTGATAGCCCTTCTCCATAGGGCTCAGGGGTCTGTGCACGTGTCCCAGAAGCTTTCAGTCCCTGTGATTTCTGGGAGACAGTGATGGAAGGGAGGAAGTTCTTACAAAACCCTTGGAAACAGCACGGAAAGGAGGGGGCTCCCGTGGGTGTCGGTGCCGCAGTAGAGGCACAGCCGTGCGGTTCGTTTCCTCCTCCGCAGCTCGCTGTTCCCCGGTTTTCTCCCATCTCCCCGCGATGGGCTCCGGAGGAAAGGAAGCCCTATCCCCTGTCCCAGATGCTCTGCCTGGGTTTTCTGGTGCTGTTGCTGGCTTTCGGCTCCTTTCTCTTCAGCATCCCCTCGCGCCTCTCCGTCACTTTCCCACCTTTATCCCGGCCCTCCCCGAAATGGGCAGCGCGGATTCCTGCGGTTGCTCATCTGCATTCAGCCTCCTCCCCGGCCGGCCCCGCTCCTCCCTCCCGCACCTCCGCGGCGTCGGGAAGAGCTGCGTGCGGGGCCGGCGCTGCGCCTCCGCGCCCTCCTCGGCTTCGGGGTTACGCGATCGTTATCGCTATTTTTTCCTTCCTCGCCCTTCCCCCTGTCCTTCAGCCGGCGCGGCGGAGCCTTGCGGCAGCGCTGGGGACTGAGGGACGCGGGGGACGAGGCCACCGCCGGGGCAGCGGGGCTCTGCGCTGAGCGTCGCTGCTGTGCGCCGGCCGCGCTCGGCGGGGAGATGCCTCTGGAGGATGGTGGTGCGGCCAGGCGGAGCGGGCGGCATCCCTGCGGCGTCACCGGCTGCGAGGGGACGCGGGACGCCCCGCACCGGGCCGAGCCGGCTCCCCGTGTCAGCGAGACGGAGGAGATGGTGGAGGATGAGGAGCTGTGGCCGGAGCGGGATGATGGAGATGTGACCTCTGGACGGGGAGAAGAGGCGTGCGGGGCCCTGCAGCGGGCGGGGAGTGGGGAAGCGCTGATGGCCGAGCTCTCAGAGAGAGTGCAGGAGGTGGTGCGGAGCAGCGGCTGGTGGGAGAGGCACGGCGTGGACATCTGCATCCTCAGCTGCAGTCTCCTAGCGCTGCCAGCAGGTAAGAATCCCCCTCTCCAATAGGGGTCCCGCTGCTTTCTCGCTGCTTTCACATTGGTGATGCTGAGAGCAAGGGAGTTTGTTTGTGTTGGAAGCCTATTAGCAGCCTGTCAAGCTGTAACAAAACTGCAGTAAACCCTTTACCCGGTGCTGGGGCATCCTGACCTCGCTGGAGACCTGCGCTGTGTAACAAAGGGGAACTGGGGTGGGAAGGAGCTGTGCTTGCCCAGCAGCTGGGCAGGGAAACCCGCGGGGTTTGGGTGTGAATGCCCTGAGCAACGGCGGGTGAGGGGGAGCTGGGCTGGGCTCACGGGGCTGATTCTGCTTTTGAACACCTGGGACTACTGAAATAATCACAGAACTGCCTTTGTCCCCAGAAATATCCTGTCCTAGATGAGTCTGTAAATCTGTGTAGGCACAAAACTGCCAGCAAGTCTGTCCAACATATAGAGCGCCGTGGTTTTCACAGTGGGTTGTTCTCTCTTGCACACATCCTGGGGTTCCTCTGGTTTGCTCCTGAAGCTGGGCAGTCAGGGTGTGTAGGTTCCCTTGCTGGGATGGGAACAGCTGGGTGCCTCCCTAGCCGTGTCTGCTGCCATCGCAGCTGGGAGCTCAGCCACAAAGGGTGCTGTGCAGGGATACTGACTGGCTCAGGCAGTTCAAATACCTGTAATTATGTCTGAAAAACAAGTTTAGGGCAGCAGTCAGTTGTTTTAGTGTGGCAACACCTCTCAGTCCTGACTGTGAGCGGAGAAGTGATGACTGAGCTCCTGCCCCGGGCTTTTTCCACAGGATTTCTATGCCTGCGTTCAGCCCACACCATCCCTTTCCTGGCAGGCGTCCTCACCCTCGGCGTGGGATATCACACCCTGGCTGTGAAGGGCAGCCACCTGGCCAGCCACAATGCCCTGACCAAGTCCAGGTCCTGGGGCAAAGTGTGGGCTGTCTTCTTCATTGAGGTGAGTGTGATTTGATGGCCCCCAAAAAACCCCATCATCACCTCGCCACTGAGCACTGGGAATATTGCCCATGGAAGGGGGTGAGTGGTGGGGATGGTTTCTGCTCCGAGAAGAAATTTCTCCTAATACCCAACCTGAACTTCCCATTGTGCAACTTGAGGCCGTTACCTCTCGACCTTTCTCTCTCACCCAGTTCTGCTCAGCATTCACTGCCGAGCAGGCCAGCTACAACCACGTGAAGCTCCACCATGGCTACACCAATGTCATTGGCCTGGGGGACTCCAGCACCTGGAAGCTGCCTTTCCTGAACCGCTACGTCTATTTGTTCATCGCGCCGCTCGCCGTGCCCATCATAACCCCCCTGGTTGCACTAGGTGTGTGCCTTGGGCTGGGATGCTGGGCATGCTGAGCTCACTCACACCTCTCCTTTCTGCTGATGCTCAGAAATGCTTTGATCAAGCACTGAAAGCTCTGACAAAAGCTCTCCTGAGCTTAAAGTGCCCCAGATTTGTTTCCCTTTAATTTGGGTATCTGGGCATAGCAAGGTTTGGGTGGGTGGGTCAGTGGTGTTCGATGTGTGCACAGGGGTGGGATGGGCACAAGGAGCAGACAGAGCAGTGACTTGGAAGAAATAACAGTGCCGAGAACTGACTGAGGGAGAAGAGCCCAGGAACTACTGACAGACTATTGGAGCACTGCCCCTGGGCAAAGCTGGAAGTGAAGGCAGCCACTGGGCACTGGAGATGAGTGTGCATCCAAATGTCATAGCTCGAGTGTCCCATCACCTCCCTTAATGCTGGGATGGGGTCCTGCCATGGGGACACCTCCAACCCCCAAAACAAGCGTTATCGTACGGTCATGAGGTTGGAAAACATCACTGAGACCATGAAGTCCAACCCCAATCCATGCCTGCTGAGCCACATCACTAAGTTTGGGAGAAAGGGAGACAAAGAGCGGATGGGCCACCACCATGTTCCAGTTCTTTCTCTCCCTGGCACAGACTTGCTGAGGAACGTGGAGATGAGGGCTGCTCTCCGCACTGTCTGCCTCATGTCGCTGGGGCTGTGCTGCCATTACTGCCTGCTGCGCCACGTCTCGGGCTTCCAGTCGCCGTGGTCTGCCCTGCTCTGCATGCTGCTCACCCGCTCTCTCCTGGCCCACCCCTACATCCACGTCAACATATTCCAGGTGGGAATGAAGCTCTAAGAGGTCCCAGTGGTGCTGGGCATCTGCCTGACCTTGCAGACTGTCATCAGCTCAGGTTGAGCAATCCTGGCTGTAATCTCCATTGTGCTGATGTAATGGGAGCACTGCAGGGGGAAAGGGGAAAGCCAGGGTGGTGGAGCAGGAAAGGCTGGGTGATGTCTCTCTGTGGCCCGTGGAGCTGGGGTGTTGGTCTGTTTTGCATATGGAGATGCAAATGGAGATGCAGCTCCTGGGCTGGAGAGAGGAGCCTGGCACAACAGCTTGGGGTTCTGCAGGGGCACAGGGCCTGAGGGTGGTAGACAGGTAGACACACAGGGCCTGCGTGTGCTGTGGGCTCACGGATAGGAGGGTGGAACGACCCAGTGTGCCTCTCCTGCAGCACATCGGCCTCCCCATGTTTGCAGCCGATCGGAAGCCCAAGCGCATTCAGCAGATGAGTCTGGGTGTGCTCAACCTGCCCCGCAATGCACTGCTCGACTGGTGCTTTGGCCACTCGCTCATCAGCTGCCATGTGGAGCACCACCTCTTCCCCAGCCTGTCTGACAACATGTGTCTCAAGGTGAGTCAGTCCCTGCCTCAGCGTGGTGTAGGGGTCCTCCTGCCTCTCCACGTGGGATGCATCTCAAGTACCGTGCAAACTGTTATGATTTCACCTGGGGTCCGTGCCGGGCTCCAATGGTTTTGGTTGTGCCCATCCTTGTTGCCTCAAGGGATGCATTGAAAATTTGGAATGCTGTCCTTGGCAGGAGGAGATTCAAAGGCTGGGATCTCCATCCCATAACACCTTATTTTCAATATCATTTATGGATGAGAATGAAGCTATTGTGAGGAGGCTGCAGTGAGGCAGTTCATGTCACACTGGGGTGGGTAGGAGCGGCCCCTCGTACCTCCCGCCCCCATCACACAGGCACGAGTGGGAGCATGTGGGGCCAACCCTCATGAAAAGCCTCGTTAAGGAATCCTAATTCTACAAAGGCACGTGCCAGGGGAACTCCCTGAATTGCTGCCATTGGATACCACCTTCCTCTTAATTTTCACAGCAAAGCTGTTGCAGCTGATGTGCCCTCCTGCATCCCACTGGGGATGGCTGCCTCCTCTGGGCAGGGCCGTGCTCTGGCCCAGCCTGCAAATGCAGAAAGTCCCTTTGTCTCCACAGATCAAACCTGTGGTGTCGCAGTACCTGAAGGAGAAGCGTCTGCCCTACAATGAGGACACCTATGGCTCCAGGCTCCAGCTCTTCCTGCAGAAGTATGAGGAGCTGATGGTCCATGCACCGCCCATCACAGAGCTGGTGGGCATCCAGTGAGCTGGGGCCGACTGGCTGCAGGAAACATTCCTCCCGGTGCCCTGGTGCTGAGCAGGGGGTCATGCCCCCCTGGAGCTGCTTATGGACAGAGTTCGGTTCTACCCGCACTGCTTTCATGCTTGGGAGGGTGAAGCAAAGCCCCATCGGCTGCGTCCTCGTTGGAAGCAGCAGGTGGCAGGGCTGTGTCATCGTGTGCTGCCAGGAGTTGTGGAAAGATGTGGGGGGGCAGGGGTTGTTACTGCCACTGTGCTTTACCTGGCTGGGATGGGGGAATCTGTCTCTTCTGGGAACATGGAATTGGCAAATTCAGCCCAAGGTGTTGAAGTGGATTTTTATTTCTGCTTTTTGTCATTGGAACAATTAATGTGGGGATCCCATGAGGAGGGCTGCAGGGCAGCTGTCCAGCCTGGTGGACAGTGCTGGGGATGCTTAGCTTCTGCTTACAAAGGAGATTCCTGGCCCTGTGCTCAGCACCCCTGCTTTCTGCCCCTTTTTGTGGGTGCTGTTACTATAGGGATTGGGACAATGATGCTGAAGGTACAAATGTCCTCTGAAGCTATGGGAAGCTGCTCTTCTCCATGCAACTGTGCAAAAGGAGCATGCAATGAAGCACAGGGCCAGCTGCCTGCCGCAGCAGGAACCAATTTCCAAGATGAGAAAGCATGTGGCTTTTACAACCCTTATTAAAACTAGCTTCTAGCGGTGAAATCGGCCTTAATTGCTTTTAAAAAGCCCTTTTAGTGCTTGTCTGTGTGCCTTGGCAGCTGTACAACCCATAAGTATCTTCTGTGCCCGGTGGTGGGCCGGGCAGTGGGGCTCCTGCTGCCCTGTGCGGGGGAATGAGGAGATGAAATGGTGGCTCTCCTGCGGCTGGAGCCTCCCTGTGCTGCCGCATCCTTTGCAGGGATGTTGTGTGTGCTCTGGGTTTGGTAGCACGGTCTCTATTGCACAGGAGGATGGTTTAATAACCCGTCTCTGAGCTCTCCTTCTCCTGGACGCCTTTGCAGCTCCTCTCTCTCGAAAATAAATAAAGAAATGCTATTCAGAATGGAAACTAACCGCGCTTCCCGCCCCGCCCGGGGTACCGTGGAGGCTTTACCCATAGAGAGGGCCGGCCAGAACGGCGCCGAGACCTCCCTTCCCTCCCTTCCTCTCTATGCCCCTTCCGGCCAGCCGCACACCTCCATTGGCTGTCCGCGCCGCGGGGGCGGGTTTATGCTAAGTACCGCCTCGGCATTGGTCGGCGGGGAGGCGGCAGTCGGGATGGGACCGGGCGGCGCGTGCTGGAGGGGCGGCTGGGCCGGTGAGGGGCGCAGGGCGGTGGGAAGCGGGGCTGCGGCATCGGGCTGCGGGGCGCCGGGAGCGCGGTGGAGGAGCCCGGGGAGCCACGTGCCTCGGTGGTCGCCGTGAGGGAGCGAGGCGGGGCGGGGCGAGGGGGCGGCTCCGAGAACGCCAAGGCCGCGGGGGGGGGGCGCGGCTGCGACCTCGGTGCGGTTCCTCGGGTGTGCGGGACCGAGGGACAGAGAACGCGGCCGCGGGCTGCACTCCGCTGCACTCCGCCACCGGCGAGGCGATCGATGGCGGCTCCCGCCCGCGCGGGTGCGTGCTGCGGGGTGGGGTGGGGAGCCGCGGGTCGGCCGGCCTCAGCCGCTCTGTCCCTTCTCCCCGCAGGACTCCGGCGCTGGCTGTCCTCGCGTGCCCCGGCCCCGAGGATCTGCGTGGTGGGCAGCGGCCCCGCGGGGTTTTACACGGCTCAGCACATCCTGAAGGTAGCGGGGCCGGGGCTGGGGCCGACGGAGGGGTCTGGGAGCTCCGGGGATGTGGGAGCGGTTCTGTGGGCACTTCTCGTTACTGCGGCTCGGAGCGGCCCTGGCCCTGCGGAGTCATCCTTTCTCTGTGGGGCTGGGACGGGCTGCGCTGCCCCTGGGTCATTTGGGCCAAAATACAGCCTGGCCCTGTTGCTGTGAGTTATGACCCGGTGATGCCAAAGGATGAAATGCCTCCCTATGAGGACGGTCTGAGAAAGCTGGGTCTGTTCAGCCTGGAGAAGGGAAGGCTCTGGGGACAACCGAGAGAGGCCTTCAGTATTTAAAAGGGGGCTATAGGAGAGGAGGCAGACACCTTAGCAGGGTCTGTTGTAACAGGACAAGGGAAAACGTTTTCAAACTAAAAGAGAGGAGAATTGGTTGGATATAAGGAACAGTTTTTTACAGTAAGGGTAGTGAGGCGCTGGCACAGGCTGCACAGAGAGGTGGTGGATGCTCTTTCCCTGAAGATGCCCACAGTCAGGCTGGAGGGGGCTCTGAGCAACCTGTTCAAGCTGTAGGTGTCCCTGCTGATTGCTTTGGGGTTGGAACAGATGAACTTTAAATGTCTCTTCCAAATGAAATGATTTAAGAGTTCTATGACTCTTCTAGAATCAAATAACCAGCAGAGATCTGATTTGTCTGGAGGTGTTGCTCACCAACGCAGGTGACGTTCCCTGCCTTTCTGACTCCTTCTCCACTTGAAGTGGGGCAGAAGGGTAATCCTTTGCCCTGCAGGTGTTAGTGCTTCAGCTGATCCCTGATGGGAAATGAGACTGTAATATAAAACTGATCTGCTGGTACTGACCAGAGGTACATCAGCTTAACCCCAGCATTAAACTGCTCTGTGATGTCTGTGATATGTTTTGGAAATTAGCTGTTGCTAAGCCTCAGGGACAAATTTCAGGGCTGCCTAATCTCCAGGAAGAAGCTGACTAAAAATAAAAGATAGCAAGAGCCTTACAGCAAAACATCTGCGTGAAGCTGTGGCCCAGACCTGGAGGTGACTCAGCTCAGGGTGCCCTCAGGCTCTTGGCACATCTTAGCCAGCACAGAGGGGGCTGTGTTTGGTGCCCTTTGTCCAGCAAGGCAGCCACGAGGTCAGCATAGAGGCAGGGCTGTGGGATGAGAGTGAGGAGAGAGCCCCAGAAAAGTACTGTTACTGGCTTTACATTCTCTGTTGCGTCTTGCAGTCTGAGCTGGCAGGAGCAGGTAATGACTTGTGTGTAAAGGACCTTTTTAAGAGTCTGGAACAGATGACTTCCCTTCTCTTCACCAGTTTCTGGCTACAGGATTTTTGTGCAGCATTCCCTCTTGCCCTGCATTTCCCCCAGCAGTGGGCGAGCAGTGTGTGTCCCTCCTGAGCTGCTGGGCTTCACGAGGCCTTTCCTCATTCCTTAACCTTCACTCTCCTTTAGCACCATGACCTGGCACAAGTGGACATCTATGAGAAGCTGCCTGTTCCATTTGGGCTCGTCCGTTTTGGAGTGGCACCGGATCACCCTGAAGTGAAGGTCAGTGCTGACTTCTTCCCTTGCCCACGTGTTGGAACGTGGTGGTGAGCGCAGGCCAGGCAGCTGGCCTCATGGCTCGCTATGATCAGGGGCTGCTGTGTTGAAGTACTCCTTCAGTGTCTTCAAAGCCTTAATCTCTTTGCCCATACTGAGGCTGTGGCCTGGAGATAGACAAGAACTGGCTTCAGGGCTCTGAATACAGGGTCAGAAACACTGTCTGTGTGATGGCAAGTGCTGCTCTGAGATTGGCTCCCTGCATTGGTGGGGCTGGCCTGCAACAACAGCAAGGAGCACTGGGCTGCATCAAAAGCAGTGTGGCCAGCAGGGCGGGGAGGTGATCTTGCCCCTCTGCTCTGTGCTGGTGGGGCCTCTTCTGTGAGGTGACCTGATAGCAGCCTGCAGTATCCAAAAGAAAGCTATAGGAAAGAAGGGGACAGACTCTTAAGCAGGATATGTGGTGATAGAACAAAGGGAAATGGTTTCAAGCTCAAAAAGAGTAGATTTAGGTTGGATGTAAGGAAAAAATCTTTTATGGCGAGGCTGGTGAGGCTCTGGAACAGGCTGCACAGAGATGTGGTGGATGCCAGAGCACTTTGTGCTGATGGATGTTCATCTATCCCGCAGTGCTGCAGCAGTGGCACTGACTGCTCCTCTTGTGCTCTGCCCTAGCCTGGGTGTGCTGAGACCTTACTTGGTGTCAGTGATTGGAAAAATGTGGATCTGCTGTGGGGATGATGGAGCTGGGATGTGGGTGCATACCTGAGTGAGGAGAAGTTGAATCAAGGAGCTCTTTTAAATCAGTCATTTTCCTTTGCCTTGCAGTGAGTGAGAATTGTGTGGAGAGATAGATGTTGTATCTGAGGTGGAGGTGGTTGCAGTGGGAGGACGAGGAGAACCAGACACAGCAATATTTTGTCATGGTTACCCCATTTAATCTCAGGAGATTGTCAGACCAAAATGCATGCGTTTTTTATCTGAAAAATGGGAGGTATGGATATAAAGTATGTACATGGTTTTGGGGTAACTGTTCATTCCGCTGTCTCTGTCTGCTTGTACCAGCAGTGGCTCTGCTGATCAGCCTCAGTCACTCAGAAGAAAGGACTTGGGCTGCTTCCTCCCTTGGTGTAGTGGCTTTCAGGAAGACTTGAAACCAGTAGGGTCGGGCAGGCAGCACCCTGAGTGGAAGGGGTTGTTTGACAGGGCTCCCTTGCAAGCCTCACCTTGTGAAGGGGCGTTCTCCTACAGCAGGCTTTACTCAGGGAGGGGCTGAGGGTATTAACATGGTCCCATCTCCTCCAGGTGGGTGCAAAAAGTCGGTTTTTGTTTCCACAGGGGGAGGTGGAAACTGTGCCAAGCTGCCTCTCTGTTTGTCTGACAGTGAGTTAGTTATCTGTGAGTGCTGACGGATAAGAGCCTCAGAATAACCAAATCAAAGACAGGGAGAAACGTTTCAAGGCCGAGAGGAATGGGGGCAGCGTCCTCCTGTGAGTGTGGACCTTGGACCAGCTGTGGTCTGAACATAATGTCGCTTGTTTGATCTGTTTGATCTTGGCAGAATGTGATCAACACGTTCACGCAGACTGCGCGTTCGGAGCGCTGTGCCTACTATGGCAATGTCACCGTGGGCAGGGACGTCACGGTGGGAGAGCTGCAGCAGGCGTACCATGCCGTGGTGCTGGTGAGTGAGGAGGGCGGCCGCGGGGTGTCCGGCAGAGCAATTGCCAGAAGGGCAGACTGGTGTTCCAGTGCTGAACCCTGCACGCGCCGGCTTTTCTGTGTCTGTGTTCCTAGAGTTACGGTGCTGAAGACAACCGGGTTTTGGGGATCCCAGGGGAAAACCTGTGTGGAGTTTACTCAGCCCGAGCCTTTGTGGGCTGGTACAACGGACTGCCTGAGAACCGGGGTGTGAGTACGGCCGTTTGTTTCCCTGCCTTTCCTTCCCGTGCTGTATCTGAACGCTGACATCCAGCTCCAGATTAAATCCTGGAAGGCCTGCCATTGCAAA